GGCTGTACTAGTTTGCATTCCTACCAACAGTGTAAGAGGGTTCCCTTTTCTCCACACCCTCTCCAGCATTTATTGCTTGTAGACTTTTGGATAGCAGCCATTCTGACTGGTGTGTAATGGTACCTCATTGAGGTTTTGATTTGCATTTCTCTGATAATGAGTGATGTTGAGCATCTTTTCATGTGTTTGTTAGCCATCTATATGTCTTCTTTGGAGAAATGTCTATTTAGATCTTTGGTCCATTTTTTGATTGGGTCATTTTTCTGGAGTTGAGCTGCATGAGTTGCTTGTATATTTTTGAGATTAATCCTTTTTGACCTTCCTATTTTAAAAGATACTTTTATTGGCACTTCTGTATCTTTCAGTTTTAGACCCTGTGTAGATGGAAGGCTGTTGAGTGCACTGCAAGCCTTCTCAAAAATTATCTGCAGGTTCATGGGAATCTCTGAGTCCCATCCAAGAGGTCCATGAGGTCAAAAGTATGTTTTAAAACAGTACTAAGATGTTAATTAGCCCTTTTTTCACTCTATTGATGTTTACATTCATGGTGTAAAAGCTGATAGCACCAAGCAGTCATTTTACCTTCATCACTGTTTAGCATTCACAGGAAATAGTAAGTCCAGTTTCACTTAACTTCCTTGATGAAGCAATAAAAAAAATCATCCATTTTAATTTTTCAACCCTGAAATATTATGTGTGATGAAATGGGAAGTGGACACCGCACACTTTCAAAGTACATGCCAAAGTGTGATGGATGTTTCCAGAAAAATCGTGGATGTGACTGTCGGCGCTGTGAGTTGAACTAGCTATTATTTTCATGGAACATCATATTTATATGACAAACAGTCGTGGTTAGCCAGACTTGGGAATGTGGCTGGCATTTTCTCAGAAATGAACAGTGAACTTGCCATTTCAAGGAAAGACAGGTATTTCTTCCCAATGAAAAAAATGGAAGTTTTTGAGAGAGAAACAAAATTATGAAAAGCTTGTATTCACCAGCACTCTGAACTTACTGGACAACTTCCCAGTGACTGCTTTTGTGATGGATCTGTGAGGCTATTAATGAATGTGATGTTTGGATATTGCATAATAAAATATGTCAGCATTTGGAAGATATGCACAGCTGAATGAACCAGTATTTTCTGCATGACAAGTGTTTGCAAAATATACCTTCAAGTTGCAGGATAAGCCCATGGATTCTAACATAACATAATATGAAAAGTTCATTGACCTAACTTGAACTTTTGACTAACTTTTAACTAGTTTGAACTTCGTATCTGACATTGCAACTAACCTTTAAGAAATCCTTACTGAATTTTGTGGTGCATTAAAGAAAAGTGTCCACAATTCTGAAAAAGTTTTTGAAATAGTCTTGAAAGATACAACCCACATGAATTGAGAGTCTTTGAAGTGCTCAGTCATTTTTTAGAGTGTGAAGACTCCTTGAGAACTGTGTTAGAGCAGATGGCAACATGGCTTGTGGGGTTGTATTGCTGGCATTTGGTTCTTGGGTTTATTTTTAGTTTGTTGTGACTTTTGGCAGATTAGTTGACTTCTGTGTCCCAGTTTCCTCATGTATAAAATGGGTTATAGTAGTAGCAAGAGTTTTATGAGGATGAATAAATTAATACATACGAAGCACTTACAGCTCTGCCTGGAACATGGTATTTGTTGTTGTTTTGGTTGTGCTGCACGCCATGTGAGATTTTAGTTCCCGAACCAGGGATCAAACCTGCAGCCACGACATTGGAAGCATGGAGTCTCAATCACTGGACCACCAGGCAAGTCCCTATGTTTTAGATTTGCTGTCATTGTTTTTATTTCTGTGAAAAATGAGGGTTTTGCTCTCTGACATCACCTAACCATAACTGTTACAACACTTTCCCTTTCCTGCCAATACAACCAATTACAATGTTGGTTTAAATAAGGTTCTTGTTTGTATTATCGGTGGTGTGTGTGTGCTTATGTGCGTGTGGACACAGTTGTGTCCAACTCTTTGCAACCCCTGGACTGTAGCCCGCCAGGCTCCTCTGTCCATGGGACTATATAGAAATCTGGGTTGGACCTATTTTCCCTCAAAATTTTGAAATTTTGAAAGCATTTTCTGTTGTATTTTAGCTTAGAGAATGAAAAAATCCTATTCATTCCTTCATTCATTCAACTTATCTTTGATTCCCTATCCTTTGTTTGGCCTTCTTTTTCATTCTGGAAGCTCCATTCCTGCTGTTTCAAAATATCATGATGGACTGTCTCTGACGGTGGACTGTTGACATTATAGTTTTTTCTTCGTTAGATCTCGGGTTCTCATTTACTACTTAATTGTTTTAGGTTCTGGCTCATGCTCAGATCTTTTCTTCAGATGCCGAATGATCCTTGACTCTGTTCACATTTAAAAGTGCGACACTTTAAAAACTGCTGGTGCTCAGTCTCAGAGTCTGATCAAACTCCAGGAGATTGTGAAGGACAGGGAAGCCTGGTGTGTGGTGGTGCACGGGGCTGCCAAGTCAGAGACCGCTGAGCAACTGAACAGCAACAATCCTTAGGATTGTTTGTTTCATTTCTGTGATATTTTAAGCACTGTTGACATTTAGACAGGGGTTGCAGTGAATCTGGAGGTTGTTTTGGGTAGTGTGGACCTTTTAACAAATGCTTCTTTCAGTCCATGAGCACGAAATACCTTTCCATTTATTTGTGCTTTTTTCAGTTCCTTTCATCAGTGTCTTAACAGTTTTCAAGATACAGATCTTTCACTTCCTTGGTTCAGTTTATTTCTTAGTATTCTTTTTGATACAGCTGTAAATGTTCTCTTAAATCTTCTTTCCTATAATTCTTTATTTGAGTGTGGAAACACAGTAGATTTCTGTATGATCATTTTGTATTCTGCAATTGTATTGAGTTTCTTGACTCCAGCAGTTTTTAGTGTGGTTGTGTTTGTACATTTGTCATCTGAAAATAGTGACGCTTTTATTTTTCCCTTTCCTACTTCGATGTCTTTTCTTTTCTTTTTTTTCCCTAGTTGCTGCTTTTTATTCTTTCAGTAGTAAGGCATTAGCTATTGACTTCCTACTGTGTTCAATGAAAAATTAGCCCTCTTTCTTTCTCAGCCCTTTTATCATAAATACAAATGCACTTCCCATCCTTTACAACTTCCCAGTAGATAGGTTACTTGAGTAATCAAATCATTATGTTACTGTGACCCTGTGTGTTATTTTCACCTGTTTTCCCTTCTGCATTTGTCTTATCCAGCCTTTTCTTTTGAGTCATTTTCCTTTAGCACAAACAAATCTTTATCCATCGCTTTAACTTTCCCTAGGGGCTTTCCTGGTGACGCAGACAGTAAAGAATCTACCTGCAATGCAGGAGACCCATGTTCAGTTCCTGGGTTGGGAAGATCCCCTAGAGGAGGAAATGGCAACCCGCTCCAGTATTCTTGCCTGGAGGATCCCATGGAGGGAGGAGCCTGGTGGACTGCAGTGCATGGGGCCATAAAGAGTCAGACATGACTGAGCGACTAGCACTTAACTTTCTCTAGACCCCCGTGGCGTCCCATTTCCGTGCCTGCCCCTCACAGGAAACTCCTTGAACAGCTGTCCGTCCTGTCTCCCTCCTCTGCCATCATCTCCAGTGACTGTAGCCACTCCACCTGGGCTTCTGCATTGGTCCTAACTGGCCCACACCTTGGCCAAGACCGTGATTAATTAAGTCTTACTTTGCATCTTAATCAACCTTGCCTCAACATTTGACTGAACTCAGCTACTCCCTCCTTGAAGCACTTTGCTTGGCTCTTGGGGATACCAAACTCACCTCATTTTCTTCTTGTTATTGTCATCCCTTCTTCTGTTGATCTCCCTTTTTTCGTTCTCCCCTCAAAAATGTTTGCGCACCCCAGGCTCTCCTCTGGCCCCGTTTTGTTGCTTTCCTTATGTAAACTAATCCTTTCCCATGGCTTTGGACATTGTCTATAGACTTGTGACTCCAAACTGTCTAACGCTGGCCCAAAGTTCTGTAGCGCTCCATACTCAGACACCCTCTTGCCCATCCAGCATCTTCCCCTTGGTGTTTCAGTAAGCGCTTCGAGCATTACATGCTGCTGCTGCTGCCAAGTCGCTTCAGTCGTGTCCAACCCTGTGCGACCCCATAGACGGCAGCCCACCAGGCTCCCCCGTCCCTGGGATTCTCCAGGCAAGAGCACTGGAGTGGGTTGCCATTACATGGTCACAGCCAGACTCTAGGTTTCCATTCCCCGCCATTTCCCCATGTCAGCACACACCATCATCCAGTCGCTCAGGCCAACAACCTACCAGTCTTCCTCGGTTTCTTTCCTTTTAATCTCACATCCAGCCCAGCATTGCCTTTTCACTTCATTTCAGAAACCTCTCTGTAAGCTGTCGCATCTCTCAGCTCGGCTGCCACAGCCCTTACGGGCTTTCTACCTGAATCACCAGCTGCTTCTTCCTAACTAGTGTCCTTATTTCTCACCTTCCCTGATCCATCCACCATCCCGCAGAGCAGTCAGAGAGAGACGCTTCAAGTACGAGTAAGGGACGTCCTTGTCAGTCCCGTGGTTAAGACTCCGCCCTTCCAGTGCAAGGGGGCGAGGGTTCAATCCCTGGTCAGGGAACAAAGATTTCACATGCCGCAGAGTGCAACAACAAAAAATAATAAAAATGCTAATGTATGAATCAGATCAGTCACTCAGCCTCTTAAAACCTTCCTGTGGATTCCTGTTATGCCTTCAATTAAACTCAAACCCCATCTCGAAGCCTTCATGCCCTCCCTGATCCGAGCCCTGCCCACTCCATCCTCAGCTCTTGTCTCCTGCCATTTTCTGGGCACCATTGCTTTCTTTCTGCCACATCCTCTCCGCGTTCCAGGCCTCTTGTTCTGCCTTGTTCTTGCAGAATGCCTCCCTCTCTCCGTATCTTCCTTTCATTCATATTCATAGTGTTGGTCAGTGAGTCGTGTCCGACTCTCTGTGATCCCATAGACTGTAGCCCACCAGGCTCCTCTGTCCATGGGATTCTCCAAGCAAGAATACTGGAGTGGGCTGCCATTTCCTTCTGCAGGGGATCTTTCCAACCCAGGGTTCGAACCCAGGTCTCATGCATTGCAGGTGAATTCTTTAGTCTCCCACTTACTGTTTTCCTTTCAACTCAGATGTTACTTCACAGGGAGTGCCGTCCTGACTCAAGCAGAGCATCACTACCAAATCACGCTCCTTTTTTAGTTTCTCAGTGACACCTCTTGTACTTGAAATTATATGAATCCGTTTTCAGAATTTTACTCTAGAATGTCTGTATTCTGAGCCTTCCAAATGATTTCTGGCACAGGGAAAGAATGTTGACCGAATGATATAATTCCTAAGACAGAAGTATCCAAAAAAGCAGTGTGTTTTTTAATGCTTCCTTTACTTTTCATATATGAACATTGTTCTCTTTCTCCATCAGGAAATAGAGCAACAGTGATTTTGACTGGGGAAGCTTTAATTTGTTTAAAGCAGATTTCAAAATGGGCCAGACTCCTAGGAGACTAAACCTAACCCTCCCATGTTCAAATATAAGTTTACAAAAAAAGTACATTAAACATAAATTGTATGGCTTTAGGATAAACCCTTTCTTTCTCTGTATCTCAGATGAGAGTTGGCCACCAGCTTTTTATGAATGCTATGTGCTGTTTATGTCATAAAGGTTTACACTGTCAACCTGTTGGAATTTTAAATGTTCTATTATGTAACAAAGTTTGCTTTATGAATGTATTTAACTGGGAGTAAAATCAAGAGTGTAAGCAGATTCACCATCAAACATGGCTTCAGGATTTTAACAGGGTTTTCTCCATATGATATCTTAAAAGGAAGTAATTTTTTATTTTATTTTTGCTTGTTAGTGTAATTCCTTAAATTGCTGTAAGCTCCAAATCAGTGGAAATATGCTAGTCTAAATAATACAGGCGGGGGCGGTGGGTGGGGAGAAGTTCTAGATAGAGAACTTAATCAGTAACTTATTTTATGGGTAACAGAACTCTTAAATCACTTACGTTTATCTGGCACTTCTACCCCTGCTTCTTGTTGTTTAGTCGCTAAGTTGTGTCTCTTTTGAGACTTCATGAACTGTAGCCTGCCAGTCTGCTCTGTCCATGAGATTTCCAGGAAGGAATATTGGAGTGGGTTGCCATTTCCTTCTCCAGGGGATCGTCCCAGATCAGGGATTAAACCCGTGTCTCCTGCATTGTCTGGAGAAGGAAATGGCAGCCCGCTCCAATATTCTTGCCTAGGAAATCCCATGGAGAGGAGTCTGGTGGGCTACCGTTCATGGGATCACAAAGCATTGGACACGACTGGGCAACTAAACAGCTCCTGCATTGGCAGACGGGCTCTTTACCAGTGAGCCCCCAAGGGAAGCTCTCTACCCCCACCCCTGCTAGTAGCAATTTAATTTCATGATGCTTCAGCTATTAGCAGAGTTTCCAGAGAGCTCCATTTTTAACTATTTGGCTTTGTACTTTGAGTAAATGACTAGCTTTCACCTCTGAGGAAGTAAGCCCCCCCATGACATCAGAAAGATTTAGCTCAGGGTGGCCAAAGGAGAGAGGGCATGTGTAGAAGGGTATCCAAGCTACTGCAGAACATCTGTCTCTTATTCTGGCCCTTCGGGAGCTGGTGTGTATGGATGGAAATGAATGGAGACCAGCATGGGTGGAACTAGTTATGCTGAGACCTCCACGTGACTCAGGGGCCAAGGCAGATCGTCAGATGTTATTTTTAGCAAAATGTGGTAAAAATTTCCAAATAGTTTCTTCTTGTCCCTTCTTCGTAGCTCTGTCTCTAGGATTTGTTGTTTTCTTGTAACCTTAATCTCCATTATAGTTTCTCTCTCTCTTTTATTATCAGGTAAACCCTTCACTAACTGTGTGGACACAACATTCTTAATACTGACTTTAATTTTTAGAATTTTTACTTTTTATATAATTTCTAAAGGTTATATTCCACTTATAGGTATTACAAAGTATTGGTTATATTCCCTGTGTTGTACAATATATCCTTATAACCTGTCTTACATCCACGAGTTTGTGCCTCCCACTCGCCACCCCCCAACCCCAAATTACCCCCTGTCCCATAAAAAGTAGTTTGTTCTCTATAGCTGTCTGATTCTTTTTTGTTGTATTCTCTAGTTTGCTGGTTTTTATTTTATTTTTGCTGTGTTTTTTAGATTCACATCTAAGTGATATCATACAGTATTTGTCTTTCTCTGTCCAGTTTCAGTTAACATGATGCCTTCCGAGTGCATTTGATGCAGGTGGCAACATTATACTCTTTTTTATGGCTGAGCAGTATTCCAGTATATGTACATACATTGTGTATCCCTTGGTCTGTTGATGGATGCTTAGGTTGCTTCCATACCTTGGCAATTGAAAATAATGCTGCTATGAAGATTGGGGTGCATATACCTCTTCGAGTTAGAGGTTTTGGGGGGTTATATATCCAGCTGGGTCATGTGGTAGTTCTATTTGTAGTTCTTTGAGAGACCTCCATACTATTTTCCACAGTGACTACACCAATTTCCATTCCTACCAACAGCAATGAGGGTTCCATTTTTTTGGCCACACCATGTGGCATGCAGGATCTTAGTTACCAGACCAGGGATCACACCCATGCCCGCTGCAGTGAAGCGCGGAGTCTTAACCGCTGGACCGCCAGGGAGTCCTGATCTGTGATCTTTTTGATGATAGCCATGCTGAGAGCTGTGAAGTGATACCTCACTGAGGTTTTGATGTGCATTTCCCTAATGATTAGTGATGTTGAGCATCGTGCCTGCTGTTCATCCATATTTCCTCTTTGGAAGAAAAGTTCTTCTGTACAGTTTTTAAGGGATAATATACATCATATGTAAACAACACATATAACTCAACGTTCATGAAAGTAAGTGTTAGTCGCTCAGTTGGGTCCAACTCTTTGTGACCCCATGGACTGTAGCCCGTTAGGCTCCTCTGTCCATGGAATTCTCTAGGCAAGAATACTGGAGTGGGTTGCCATTTCCTTCTGCAGGGAATCTTCCTGACCCAGGGATGAAACGTGCGTCTCTTACATTGCAGACAGATTCTTTACCATCTGAGTTACCAGGGAAGTCATCAAATTTTAAAGATTTGTTTAACCCTCAAATAATCGGGATGTGTTTTGTCTGGGTATCTTTTTAAAGTGCTTCCCATCTACTCCAGACCTCTCTTGTCTCCTCCATGGGTTTCTCAGTGTCAGTACTGGCCAACCTGTTGCTCCATGTCTGTAGTAATACAAACTTTTAACAGCTACTGAAGAGTAGCTGTTGCTCTTTGGTAAGGCTTGCCTGGTAGCTCAGCTGGTAAATAATGGCACCTGCAATTCAGAAGACCCTGGTTTGATTCCTGGGTTGGGAAGATCTGCTGGAGAAGGGATAGGCTACCCACTCCGATATTCTTGGGCTCAGATGGTAAAGAATTTGCCTGCAATGCAGGAGACCTGGGTTTGATCCCTGGTTTGGGAGGATCCCCTGGAGGAGGACATGGCAACACATTCTAGTATTCTTGCCTGGTGAATCCCATGGACAGAGGAGCCTGGCAGGCTACGGTCCATGGGGTCGCAAAGAGTTGGTTGGACAGGACTGAGCGACTCCACACAAGAGGAGCGAGGAGAGATGGAGGCGAGGGCAGCACACTGCGTACTCAGACTGAAAACATGATTTGGGGCTTCCCTGCCAATCCAGTGGTTAAGACTCCACGGTTCCTCTGAAGGGAATCCTTCCACTGCAGGAGCACGGGTTCGACTCTTAGTCAGGGAACTAAGATCCCACGTGCTGAGCGGCGTGGCCAGAAAATTTAAAAAAATTGTTTTAAAAATGTTCGATTCAAGGAAGGGGGGTCTCTTCTCTATTAACTTTTTACCTCTGATCTTCCAAAAGCCCATCTTTGGCTTGATTCGTAATGTCCTCTGTGCTTCTATATTTTAACAGGGCAGCCCTGCTTTGTATCGAAATGTTTATTCTTTAAGAGAGCAAATGTCTGCCTTCCATTTGGCTTTTAACTGCATAAAGGAAAATGAGAAAATGACTGACTGTCCTGAATTCTCAGAGGCGGAAGGAGTGTTCAAGACCAGAGGCTCGAGTGAGTAGAAAGAATTCAGTCCGTTTGGACTTTTGCATCTTTTGAGACAAACGTCTGAGATATTAAAAAAAAGATTTACTTCTGTAGTGTGAAAGCTGTCTTTTCTGAATAAAGCCATATTTTTCAGTGGAGCCTAACATTTAAAATTTGGGATGTTTCACACAAAAATCTAGATTTCTGATTTCTCTTGAAAAAAACATCATTGCTGAGCATACACCTTATGTTTGCATATGGCCACAATTAAGTGTTAAATGTTACAGTGTCAGAGTCCATGGACTCTTTTCATCTTTAAAATTGGGCATGCTGTAGCTTTGCATAAACAACCCTTCTTCTTCTTTTTTTTCTCTTTTTTAATTTATTTGTATATTGAAGGATAATTGCTTTACAGAATTTTGTTTTTGTTCTGCCAAACCCTTGGTTTTTTAGAGGATTATTATTTGGTAAGCATTTATATGAATACCAAACACCCAACCCTGATATTGTAAACAAATATTCTGATATCTTAATAGCCTGCCATACTCTTTACCATAAGTTTTAGATTGTAACCTTTTTGGTAATTTTTTCTGTCACTTTTGGTTTTCCAATCACAAAGCACTTCAGACCCCAGAACTAGACAAAATCCTGGCCTTGCTATAATCGATGTAATCCTAAGGTTCCAAATGGTTTTGTTTGGTTTCTTGAACCATGGTTTCTTGAACCATCTGCAGGTACATTTCAACACCTACTTGATTGTAGGGCATTGTTAATACAAATCCAGTGCATCTAGCTCTGCAGTACACAACCTTCTCCCATGTACTCATTTATATTTATAATTTGTAACTTACGTATTTTTCAGTTTTTATCTGAGCTTTAAGATATTTTATCTACATAATTGCTATAAATTCTGTAGACAATTAAATTCCCTTTTTGTACCCAGGAAAAATTGTGGCTGTATTTTTCGTAAAATCATATACAGTCAGAACAGAACCAATATTGGAACATAACCACATCCTTTAAAATGTTCAAAAGAAAAGGTTTCATTTTAAATTTTTAAATAAAATGAGATATTATATCAGAAATGCAAATATATCTTGGTGTATCATTTGAAAGCCCAAAGAAAGTTAATTTTGGTAATTAAATTGTTATCTTTTTAGCAGTCATGTTCTCTTGCATTTCAGTTAGATTTCCTTTTTTGAATAAAAATGTACTACTGGATTTTCCTTTTCATTGTTAAAGGATTTATGTTCACGCATTAACTTACATCATGAAATTATGATGATGGGTGCAATTTTCAAATGATATTGTAAAAGAAAATATTTGAACCTGTGTTTTGTTTTTCTTTTGTTTTGTGTACCTAGCCAAAAAGGAAAGTCTTGGTGAATGTCAGCTGTCTGAGTTCTCTGCACAGTCACCATCCAAACGTCGGAGAATATCCTCTCCAAGCAGCTCTGACATAAATGTAACTGATGCGGTTAGTCTCCAGACACCCAATGTCAATGTTGCTGCTTGTCCCATCACAGACATGGAGTGTGCTGTTGAAACCTTTGCTGATCTCTCCCAGGTAATCCCCTTACTGGGAACAGGAAGTGAAGTTTTGGGTTTTCTAGCTAGCCAGTTTGAGGACTATCCATGCCCTTTGCAATGTTAGCACTTATGTATGTTGCATTGCAGTGTTTTGGGCGTCCCGGGCGGGTCAGTGGTAAAGGAACCCACCTGCAATGTAGGAGATACAGGCTCAGTCCCTGGGTTGGGAAGGTCCCCTGGAGGAGGAAATGACAACCCACTCCAGTATTCTTGCCTGGGAAATCCAGTGGACAGAGGAACCTGGTGGGACTACAGTCCATAGGGTTGTAGAAGAGTCAGACATGGCTCAGCGACTAAACAAGAACAGCGTGCCATTACTATATTTGAGCTGGCTTTTAAATTGTGTGTGTATGAGGGATTTCCTGCTTGTTAAATTTTTTTGTGGTTGGTTGGCTTACTGACTATGAGAGACTGCCTTGATCAATATGTTACTTTTGATATGAAAAACACTACGCAAAGATGAAGCCCTGTGATCTATTTGTGATGTATTATTCTAGATACCAATGGTACCATGGTGAGAAAGTCCCAGTCCCGCCCTTGAACAGCATTTTGTCTGCTGTGGGCAGTAGACATATGAGCATCTTATTTACACAGACCTGGTGAATGAGGTGGCAGTTACAGTTGGGCTGTATCCCCAAGGTCTGGGGTCTGGCATGTCTGCCTTGCAGCCCCTCACTGGTTTAACACTGGCTGGAAAGCAAGGTGTCATTTTGCAATTTTTCCCTTGCTCTTCCCATTCTTTCAAGTAGCCATAGGGGTTTTTTTTATTGTTGCTTATAACTACCTAGAGGCTGTCAACATCATCAAAAGATGAGAATCAACATGAGTTCAGTAAAACTGTGGCAGATCCTTACGTGTGTGCGTACTTAGTTGCTTTAGTCACATCTGACTCTGTGTGACCCTATGGACTGTAGCCCACGAGGCTCCTCTGTCTATGGGATTCTCCAGGCAAGAATACTGGAGTGGGTTGCCATGCCCTCCTCTTGGGGGTCTTCCCAACCCAGAGATCAGACCTGCATCTCTTACGTCTCCTGCATTGGCAGGCAGATTCTTTACCACTAGCACCACCAACCCGAGGATCCTCGACCTTCACGCAAGTGTAAACAGGGAGCCAGTTCTCTCCCGACCCTTGGTTTTGCCTTGAACCAGTAGGTTCCTGTTTCTTTAGCGAGAGAAGACACCTTATGCTGGTAGAGTGGAAGCTTTTTTCCTGGCACCTTCTCTGTCGTGTAGATCCAGCACATGTCCTGTTGATCCTGTCTAGACTGGCTCGGTAGATTTGCTGCCCTTTATGGTCAACCATCCGGACCCATGAGTTTCATGTATATCTCAGAGTCACTTATAATCTCTGCTCTCTCTGCCCTATTCTAGTTGATATGCAATAATCTGAGGGTAATTCTTTTATCAGAATTTTGATTAATTTTTGGACACACATCATGATTTAGAAATGGTTTCCACATTAATAGGAGTGTGTTTTCTACCCTGACCATTAATGGTTTTCCCTTTCTAACTATTGATATCTTCTGTTGTTTGATTAGTAATTTTGTTTTTCATTATTTTGAGAATTTCCTCTTTAAGGAAAGTAGTTAACATAGTTTTCTAGACTTCAAACAATAAGGCAGCAAAAACTGTGCCTTATGAACGCTTCCTAGGGAATTGAGCATCGTCGGATTGGATGTTTGGGATTCAGTGAAAATGAATACTTCATTTTTAGTTCTATTCCTACATACTTCCATAAAAATTAACTAGATAATGAAGTGATGCATTGATTGATTTAACATCAGATTTCCAGATAATCTGTAATGCTAACTCAAATCTTTATAAAAATAGTAATCCTATAAATAATAAAATTTAATACTTCTTTACTGTTTGTTTCCCCCCAAGAAATTTTCTGCATCTGGTTTAAATCTACAGTCTGGATGTTTAATGACTGAGTCTCCTCTACTTTCAGAAGTTACAGAGGCTTCAAGTGGTAAGTTTTTCGTTCTTCCTTGGTACCTGTGCTGATTCACCCATGAAATGTTTGCTCAGTAGACATTTATGGTTGGTTTACTTGTATGCGAACATTTAGACGCACTGAAACCATTCCTTGCATTTTAGGAGCTCATGGTTTAGTAGAAATGTTTTAGGGCTCTTGTTGTGTGAGAGGTGACATACTGCCCTTTTAGAGGCACAGCCGCCTCCTACCTCTGCGCCTCCCGGTTACTATATTTTATGTTGTCTCTTTGTCCCCAGGCCATGGAGGCTTTGACTGTTGTGTTTATCATTGTATCTCTTAAGCACCCAGAATATATGTGTTCCATGTCAGTCATCAGGCAGTGGTCTTCAGAGGATTTGCAGGGGGAGCCTTGCCTTGTTTAACGGCATAGGAGGGCTTCTCTGGTGACTCAGTGGTGAAGAATCCGCCTGCCACTGCAGGAAACACGGGTTCAGTACCTGGCTCAAGAAGATCCCTGGAGGAGGAAATGGCAACCCACTCCAGTATGCTTGCCTGGGATATCCCATAGACAGAGGAGCCTGGTAGGCTACAGTCCACGGGGTTGCAAAGAGTCAGGCACGACTTAGCAGCTAAACAGCACAGTGTGTGAGTTGTTTTATTTAATACTAATCTCTCTCCTCAGCATCTTGTCCTCTCCCTCCTACCAGACTGGCATCCTAGAAATGCTTCTGATTGCAGCACTAAAGATTGATCAAGATTCGTTGTCTAGCTCAGGTTAGTTTCAGGATGGCCGTCATAGGCATCATGAGTGGAGGCAAGTTAACAGTTAATAGCTGAGCCAAGGATTCCTGTTTAACTTTCCATGGAGCTGACACCGCTTCTTACCTTTACTCTCAGTAGCTCGATTTGAACTAAAAGCTGTGACCAGTGCCACTTCTCTCTCTCTGTCTCTTTTTTCTTTGTATTTCCAAATGAAATCCCAGATGTTACACTCTAAGCAGGATGTCTTAGGGTTGAATTTCTGAGAAGCATGTTACTCCCTTGGCAAATATGCAGTACCTTTGGTGTAGAATGGACTGACTCAGACGTCTGCCACCCTCATGGTTACAACTCTGTGTTGAAGGAATCCAGGATGCTGCCTCCATAGAAGGGAGAGGATCCAGTGATGCCGTTTCGGTTGATGAATGTACAGAAGTGAGCGCAGACACAGCTCCCGAAGTCAGGTCCCTGGTTACCCCACTGTGCCAGAAGGACCCTCCGTCCTCCGAGACGTTTGTCCTACGTTCTGTCCTGAAGAAACCCGCTGTGAAGCTGTGTGTAGAAAGCCTGCAGGTCAGTAGAGAGCTACACCTCCTAGAGCAAATCAAATAAAGATTGCTTTTGATTCCCAGAAGTACCTCTGAAATGTTATGTCATACTCCTAATGGAAATGTTATATCATTTTCCTAACAGAAAATGTCTCGCCCTAATTTTTTTTTTGCCTCCTCTTTCTCACTTGTAGTAGCACTGGGCACTTTCTTTTTTACTTTCTATTTTTTCATTTACACTCAGTGTGGAATATAGTATGTTGATGATTCCACATGCCTCGTGGCCAAAAAAAAACCCACAAAACATAACAAAAGCAATATTGTAACAAATTCAATAAAAACCTTCAAAATGGTCCAAATAAAATAAAAATAGTGCACATTTAAAAAAAAGAAAACCAAAAGCCAAAACACCGTATTGTGCTATTTACATACTTGTTTTTTTTCTTATTTTGGGGAAAGTCTTATACTTCAGATCATTTATACAGTATACCTCAGTTGACACTGTCCAGAGTACACTGTAATTCTGGCCACTCATATTTTTCCTTAACTTCATTTGCCAGGCCAGATCCAAAAGGAGGAAATGGATTTAGCCCACATTATAGATTCCTGTTTTTTCATTTTGGCTTAAAACTACTTACTAGAGTAATAACTAAGAAACCCAGTTTTTCTTTGTGGCTAATATCATGGTATTTTAAGTTAGATCAATTATGAAAGTAAAGGTAATCTGCAGTACTGTATAGTATCTATCCTTGGCAGAAAAGGAATTCCAAGTTGCCATTCTTAATGACTCTGTGTGTGTATTTATATATGTAAAATTATTCATGGTTGTTTATTTTGTTTAGGAACACCATGACAACCTCTATAATGATGGGGCTTGTCCAAGCTTAACCTCCAGTCTTGCAAACTGTTGCAAAGAACAGACAGCAGGTAAGAAATTCAGGTTTATTTTGAAGCATGTGGATATAATTTTCTTGTTATTAAGTACATCTGAGATAGTCTGTGATATTGTCAATGACCTGCCGATGCCTGATGCTTCTGAAATTGCCTGGGAGTGAAGAATATTTGAGGGGTGAAGGATGGAATCTCTGTAGAGAGTCTTCTCAGAATTGCTTCTATCCACTTCATTTATCCATTTTTGTATAATGGTAAAATTTATAGAGGAAATGATATTCCAGTCTTGTCATCTAAAATCAGCATGCAAAATTTACTTAAAATTGATTACCACATTTTAAATTGGAAATATCGTGTATCTCTTCCATTTTAAACTTTTTTTCTCTCTACTAACTATATTTTGTATTATACGAATAGCCAATCCAGTCATGTTAAGATTTTAGGATATGCCTTTTAGTAGATATGCCAGTCATGTTAAGATTCTACAGAAGGTCAAGAAAATTGTAAAGTACTAGCCTTTCCAATGCGGGAGACCTGGGTTCAATTTCCTGGGTTGGGAAGATCTCCGGGAGAAGGGAAAGGCTACCCACTCCAGGATTCTGGCCTGGAGAATTCCATGGGCTGTATAGTCCATGGGGTGGCAAAGAGTTGGACATGACTGAGTAATTTTCACTTTCTATCCACTTCATTTATCCATTTTTGTATAATGGTAAAATTTATAGAGGAAATGATATTCCAGTCTTGTCATCTAAAATCAGCATGCAAAATTTACTTAAAATTGATTACCACATTTTAAATTGGAAATATCGTGTATCTCTTCCATTTTAAACTTTTTTTCTCTCTACTAACTATATTTTGTATTATATGAATAGCCAATCCAGTCATGTTAAGATTTTAGGATATGCCTTTTAGTAGATATGCCAGTCATGTTAAGATTCTACAGAAGGTCAAGAAAATTGTAAAGTACTAGCCTTTCCAATGCGGGAGACCTGGGTTCAATTTCCTGGGTTGGGAAGATCTCCGGGAGAAGGGAAAGGCTACCCACTCCAGGATTCTGGCCTGGAGAATTCCATGGGCTGTATAGTCCATGGGGTGGCAAAGAGTTGGACATGACTGAGTAATTTTCACTTTGACCTTCACAGTCTTGCCCGGTACAAAGAAGAGAAAGAGAGTTACTTTCGGAGAGGACCTAAGCCCTGAAGTGTTTGATGAATCTTTGCCAGCTAACACTCCGCTGCGGAAAGGACAAACACCTGTCCGTAGAAAGGATTTAAGTAGCCTCAGTCCCCTGCTGCTTGAACAGTCTCCAGTTCCTGAGCGGCCACCTCAACCAGATTTTGATGACGAGGGAGAGAATCTTGTAAGTATGGAAAGTGTGAAGCAGACTTGTTTATGATTTCTTCATACCTCACCTATTTGCATGAGCAGTAACTGTGCTTTGAAATCATGAAACAAAATGAATGGTGGGTTATGATATAAGTTAATGCATTTTCTAGCTAGATTACTACCAGTTTTCTCCTGTTAAAAGCAATCACTTCCATGACTCCTTGAACATAGCATATTTCCGGGAACCTTACTGCTATTGATTGTAAGATGTGCTGTTCTTTGAGAAAAAATGCTGAAAGTTAAACACACATACCATGTGCTTAGATCTCAAAGGTATTAAGATGTGAAAGAGCAACAGTCTTAGAATCAATATATTATAAATTGCTCTTCTAAATTTCTACAGGTAGGCTAACTGGATTCAGGGATATGCACAATTTTTGAATTTTTTGATACATAGTTCTAAATTAGCATTCAGAAAGTATGTACTTGTTTGAACTCACAGTACTATAAGTAATCCTATTTTATTAAATCTTTGTAAGGCCTGAATATTAACTGTACTTTTTAAAAAATAACTTAATAGTAGAAAAAGATGACTTGAAAATTTTGTTAGGTTTGAACATTTTCACATGTTTGTAGGCCATTTTAATTTCTTCTCTTGAGAATTACGTATTCATTTTACTTACCCATTTTACATTGGGACTGTCATTCATTCTCTCTCACTCTTATACCTTGAAATAAGAATATTCTGCTTTTGGCCACCATGGAGTAAGAGGGACCTAATTTATATTCCCATGGAAAAGAACTCAAAAGCCAGAGAAAAAGATAAGGAACAGTGATTCACAGACACTGTCTATTGGACGCACAGACAGTAATCCCTGGGTAACAAGGGAGGTGAACCTCAAGAGAGCCACATCTTGCTGCCTGGGCTGGATTTCTAGGCTGCGGCGGCACAGGGAGGAGTTGCCTCGATGGAGCCTGGACGTCTCCTTGAGTTGAGAGGATGGAGTTAGGGCCTGGGAAGGTGAAGGAGGCTGGAGTTCTCTGGTAAAATACCAGAGAGGAGACTTGCACAGAGCGAACTCTGGAGATCTGCTGAGGGTCTCGCTGGAGTCACTGCTGGTCCTCACACCCTTGTGAGAAAACTGCCCCAGACCAGGGAGGAACTGCACACAGAGCTCACGCAGGGCTCCCCAGGTGGTGTTTGTGTAAAGAACGCACCTGCTAGTGCAAGGGATGTCAGAGACTTGGGTTCAGTCCCTTTGTCGGGAAGACCCCTGTGCGGGGAGGGCATGGCAACCCACTCTCATATTCCTGCCCAGAGAATTCCATGGACAGAGGAGCCTGGTGGGCTACAGCCATAGGGTCGCAGTGAGTTGGACACAGCTAAAGTGATTTAGCATGCATTCACATAAGCCAGGAATTGTGTCCCCACCAAGCCTCGTAGCAAAACCTTATAATTCAGAGGGTGTCAGAGACTCATTAAGTGGAGCAGAATTAGACTAACAGCTAACTTGTATTCATGTAGCTGCATTGCGTAGTGAAACCCAAGAATATAAGAAGGACTTTCAGCAACTGTGAAGCTGTGGTGATCCAGGCCAGGTTACAGGCATCAGATGTAATTGTCCACCCGGCCCTTCACCCCTCCGCTGAAGGCCCTCAATAAAATGGTTGGATCCTTCCCAGCAAAACAAAACTAGCTAGCACCAAATAGCGTTAAATTCAAAGTGTCTGGCATTCAAGCAAAAATTAGTAGTTGTGTAGGGAACAGTGTCCATAATGAGGAGACAAATCAATCAGTGAGAACAGACCCAGACATGATACCTACCGTAACATTTGTGGAGAGACAATCAAAGAGTTATTTTAACTGTATTTCCTGTGTGTGCAAGACTGTGAGAAAAGATTGAGCTTAAGAACACAAAAGATAAAGACCCTAAATCAAACTTTATATGTTAAAATCTCCAGGAATAAAAAATGTATTGGGTGAGATTAATAGCATATTAGAGACTGCAAGAGAAAAGATTAGTGAATTTGAAGATGTAGCAATAGAAATTATTCTCAGTAACACAGAGAAAAAGACTAAACAGGAATAAGCAGACAATTCATGATCTGGGACAACTTCAGGTGGTATAATATGCTTGTAATTAAGGTTCCCAAAGGTGAAGAGATAGTGAAAGGAACAGAAAAAACATACTTGAAAAGCAATGGCTGAAAAATGTTCAAATTCTTTAGAATTAGAAGCCCATTGATACTAAAGTTCATCAGATTCCCAGCACAAGAAACGTAACATACAGAAAGCTTAAAATCAACAATAAATGGCCTAAAAGGAGCCAGAGAGAAAAAGACACCTGACATAAGACAAAACAGAAGAGACAGCAGCAGACTTCTTGCCGGAACTATGGGAACCAGAAGACAGTACAGCAGGGTCTTTTAAAGGTGCATTTAAGTACTTAGAGCAAAAAAAGAATAGATACAAAATACCTGTCCAGTGAGAATTCTCTATCCAGTGAGACCATCTTTCAAAACAAAAAGTGAAATAGAGGCTTTTTCAGACACAGGAAAGTTGAAATAATCCTATTACCATAACAGGTTAGCCTTAGAAGAAGTATTAAAAAGAAAGCCCTTTAATCAAAAGAAAAATAGTTCTGCATGAAAATCTGCATCTACACAGGAATGAAGAGCCCTGAAAATGCTAAATATTTGGGCAGATATAACAGACTCCTTTTTAATTAGTCTTCATAAGGACAGTTGTTCAAAGCAAGAGTAAGAACAAGTTTTTGTTTATATGCAGCCAAATTAGTGTGGCATCAAGGTAGGGAGAAGTTCCTAGGCTATAAACAAAGTGGAATAAGTTAAAAGATAAACCACAGTAAAATGACAAAAATACATGGGATACACCTAAAGCCATGCCTAGGGAAATTTTTAAAAATTAAAGGCTATATTTGAAAATGAGAGGTCTGAAATTAATGATCTCAGGCTCCACTTTAAGAAACTAGAAAAAGAAAATCAAACTAAGACAAAAGAAAGAAAGTAATAAAAATAAGTGTAGGGCTTCCCTGGCTTGGTGGTAAAGAATCTACCTGCCAATGCAGGAGACACAGGTTCGATCCCTGGTCCAGGAAAATCCCACATGCCGCAGAGCAGCTGGGCCCATGTGCCACAGCTGTGGAGCCTGCTCACTAGAGCCCGGGAGATGCAGCTACTGAGGCCTGAGCTCCCTGGAGCTTGCACTTTGCAGCAGGGGAGGCCGCTGCAGTGAGAAGCCTGTGCACCACAACGAAGAGTAAGCCCCGCTCACTATAACTGGGTGAGCAGCAACAAAGACCCAGCACAGCCAAAAATAAATTTAAAAGTGCAGAAAATCGATGAAATAGAGAACTGAAAAACAATAGAGGAAAAAATCATTGAAATCAAAAGATTGTGCTACAGAAAATAATGGTAAACTTCTAATCTGACTGTTAAGGAAAAACAGGATACTCGTTACCCATACAAGGAATAAGGGAGGTGACATAACCAATTTCCTAATAATAGATAAATTAAAAGCATAATAAAAGAATATTATGAACAACTTGATGTTATGCCAGTAAATTCAAGAACTTAAGCTACATTCCTTAAAAGATACAAACTGTTAATTTCACTCAAGAAGAAATAAGTGGTGTCATTAGCTCTGTATCATCTAGAGAAATTAAACTGTAGGTAAAACCTTCCCACAAAGAAAATTGCATGTCCAAATGACTTTACTAATGAATTCTATCATTTAAGGAAGGTGCAATACTAATGCTGCCTCAGTCAGTCAGTTCAGTCGCTCAGTCACGTCTGACTCTTTGCGACCCCATGGACTGCAGCACGCCAGGCCTCCCTGTCCTTCACCATCTCCTGGAGTTTGCTCAAACTCATGTCCATCGAGTCGGTGATACCATCCAACCATCTCATCCTCTGTTGGCCCCTTCTCCTCCTGCCTTCAGTCTTTCCCAGCATCAGGGTCTATTCCAATGAGTCTGTTCTTTGCATTGGGTGGCCAAAATTTTAGAGCTTCAGCATCAGTCGTTCCAATGAATATTCAGGGCTGATTTCCAATTGAGTTGGGCATGCTTCCCAATTCATCACTGTCAGCTTTAACCTGATACCATAATCAGATATTATAAGAAAAGAAAACTGCAGTCCAGTATCCTCATAAACATATTAAGATATGCAAAAGGGAATAAATTATGAGTAAATAAGATTTTACCCCTAAAAGGCAAAGTTCGTTTAATATTCAAAAAACAGTCTATGGAATTCACCATATTAACAGAATAAAATAGAAAAATGATACAGTCTTCTCAGTAGGTGGAGAAAAAGCATTTGACAAAATCCAGCATTGATTTCTGATAAAAATTCTAAGCACACAGGTGATAAAGGAATTTATTTAACCTGACAGATTTTATCTATGAAAGATTAACAGCTACCATTATACTGGCTGTATAAAAGAAAAGATTTGACATCTGCATTTATATTTACCTTGAAGCTTGCCTGAAAAATACTATAATGTTAGGTTGTATTTGTTAATAGATTTTCTTACTTTACCGGGGTTAGGATATGGGACTTCAAATGATCCAAAAAGTAATTTATTGGTGAATCATCAATGCCTACCCTTCACTTAAAGTTTTATTATTATTGTGGTGGATTATGGTTAGTAAATGTGGTTTCCTTTAGGATGATTGTAAATATTATAAAACAATTATATTTAGTATCTTATTTTGCTTTTTTTAAAATTTAGTTAATCCCTTATTGACTTCCTATCTTTATGCTTATTAGTTTGTTCTACAAAGATATATCTTATTTTCTTTGGGGCACATTTTTTTATATGTCCACTGAATTTAAAGATATCTAATTTCTACCCTTTTGTTTGTTTAGGAAAACATAGAGCCTCTTCAGGTTCCGCTTGCCGTTTTGAGTTCTCTTAATATGTCTTCAATTGCTGAGACTCTTTCAGGTAGTAACTTGTAAATAATCATAAATATCATTAAATGTATGTATATATGAAGATCTCCTTAGTTTTAACTTTTTATTTTTACTATGATCATAGTTGACTTTTTTAAAAACCCAAATAGAAAAGCATATAAGAAATCTCTTATCTCATTCCATTCCAAGTCGCATGCTTTATAATCACCCGCATTTAACTTCCTTCAGTGGGTAGCCCCATTTTTTCAAGTCACTGCAAGCAGAGGAGTTGCTCTCTCCACTCTTAAGGATTCACAGTCAACTCCTTATCAGGTTGCACAGTTGAAAGGATAAGGATTGTAAGCATCATTTGTAAATACACAAAATTGTTCATCAACATGGCATTTTGTGCACACGTATCTTCCAAGGTCTCTGGCTTTTTTTATGATCATGACAAGGCAACGAAGATCTCTCTCTGCTTTTCTGAGAAGACGCACAAACCAGGGCTTGGCCGGCAAATATCATGGGCAGAGCGGCTAGGGTGGGAACAGTTTTTCATGTCTCTCCCCTAGTGGATATCCTTTAATGGGTCACCAACATATCTTGTTGGCTCTTGGACACAAACTGAGCTCATTAGCACAGAATCCAATATGTGGAATGTGAAATTACTAATAGACTAAGTTGGAAGCATAGCCTGTCATCTTCCAGAGCTTATGCTCTTTGACATGCTTCACTGCGTTCTCTTTATACCATCAGCAGTGATTACATTTCAATTTTTTGAACTTTGTGAAAGTACTTTAGCGTTTAAAAATTTTTTTGAATCTCAAACTTTATTTCTCATGGTAATTAACATTTATGTTCAGATATGGGCTTCCCCAGTGCTTTAGTGGTAAAGAATCTGCCTGCAATGCAGGAGATGCAGGTTCAATCCCTGGGTCAGGAAGATCCGGGGAGAAGGAAATGCCTACCCACTCCTGCATTCTAGCCTGGGAAAATCCCATGGACAGAGGAGCCGGGCAGGCTACAGTCCGTGGGGTCGCATAGAGTTAGATACGACTTAGTTACTATAGGATACTAAAAGCAAAATTAGTATTCAAGAGTATCCAGTGTTTCCAAAAGACAGCGGATCTAAAAGTTTTTGTGAGCTTCCCTAATTTTGCTGTATCTTGCTCATCAGGCACTGATACCTCTGCCTCTTCAAGTGACCAGGAGAACATAGCCTCCTTCAGAGTCGGTAGAGCAACGCGGACCTCTAACAGAAGAAGGGTAAGTGCTTATGTTTGTTTCTAAATCTTGCAATAGCTTTTTTTCCCCTGTTTTCATGATCAAATGACTTATTGGTTAAATCTTGGTTTAATCGATGTTTTAAGAGCTAATACTTTATCCTACCTACCATGTAACCCAGGGTGATGCTGTTTTCCTGATGTGATCTCAGTTCTGTTAGAAGAAAAATACATTAAAACAAGATGATTTTAGAGTGCGTGTTCATGTGGAAGGTCATCTGTTTAGAAAGCTTCTTTGGGATCTCCATGGTTTTATTATAAATTGCATCAAAGTGCAAAGTGGAGAAGAGTAGCATGTAATTAACAGTCAGAAAATGGCATAACTTTTCCTAAACTGCATTCCACTGTTTTCAGTGTGAGCATAGCTCCCATTGAATGCATGTCTTCTGTGATTTTATTAAATCAGTCGAACTTGGATTTTTGTCTATAGCACCATAGTGCATAAACATATAGCATACTATTTTTTGCTCATATTGTTGGATGATAAACACAGAAGTCAAACTTAGATAATCTAATAACAGTTCATGATTTTTCCCCCTCATAACCCAATACTAAATTACAGGTGTTCAGTAGGTGCCTGAGACAATGATTCTTTTTTATTTTTTAAAATTTTATTGAAGTCCAGTTGATTTTCCGTGTTGTATTAACTTCTGCATGTTAATACAGAATAAATAATGCAGAATAATAGTTAATAATAATAATAATAAAAATTGCTGTATTAACTTGTAACTTCTGCAGAAATGGGATGTAAAATGCTAGAATCCACAGGAGAGGGAAAAGACATGTGAAATGGAAATGTAACTGCATGTGTTTTACGGTAGCTCTGCTTTCAATTATCTTTCTAGAAGTTGATCAGTTTTTCAGAAGAGAGTGTTTGCAACTTACTCAATGCAGAACCTCAGCCTTGTAAAGAAAAGAAAACTAATCGGAGGAAGTCTCAAGAAAGCAAGCGTGCAGACAGAGTCCTTCCTCAAAAGAGTCGGGTGAGTGTGTCTTTAAAGATGTAATGAAGAGTAAACATAGTACATTTGTTTGTGGTTTGGTTAGGAAAACACGGAAACAGATTTTTTTCTAGTCAACATTGGACCAAGAGTATTAAAAATCAAGTTATCATAGAATAGAAGGGGCCGTAGGAGATTATATACTCAATTGTGCATTACCCAAAAGCCATTTTTGCATTGTCTTCATTGGGTTGGGTTGTGTACACCCAGTGCTGGGAATCACCAACTCAAATGTGGAATTGATTCTTACCTTTGAATCTGGTCTAGTCTCACTTCACCCTCTTATGGAATCCTCTGAGGGAATTTCTCAGGGATGAGGGTGCCATCTGTCACTTGTTTGACTTGGCTGCTGCCAGTGGTTTGATGGATGACCTTCCACATTGAAGGAAGAATTCAGAAACTAGCTCTGTCTTCCTCCACTCCTGGAGGCCTGTGCCGGCGCATGACATCACTGTTTCTTGGTGGAAGGTGGATCTCGCACTAACCCAGATCCTGGTGCTCCACACTTCAGTGGCTGGACCCTCCCCTGTCACATCCACAGCTTGTTGGTACCCAAGACCTTTGTATGTCCCCCCCTCCACCCCCAGCCTTCTCTCCATCCAGCGTTCTCAAACCATCTCACTCATACCTCCTCTAGTGTTATGTTTACTCTTAGGCTTTCGGAATTCCTATGGTTTCATTTCCTGTGTTTCCTCATTCATCCTGAGCTGCGTAAGCTGTTTTCAACACACTTGTCTGTAATTTCGGGTCTTCATCCCTTTCATTCTGCTTCCTTCCTGGGCTAATGCCACCATTGTCCCCTCTCCCATCCGACGTTGCTGCTAGAGAGCCTCACGGGCCACTGCAAAGTCACTGTGTCAGATATTATTATGTTAATACTTTTTCCATTATTTTTCCAGTATTTAGGTTACTGAGTTGTTACTTAGTGACTAAAATCCAGTGCATCTTTTGAGATCTTGTTCCTACTGACTGGCCCCGCCGCATTTGACAAAACTGAGATCTCTCCTCTATGGTCTCTATTAAAGATTTGTGTCCTTCCACCCATTCCTAAATGCTTATGTTACCCAGAGTTCTGTTTTACTCTCTGACCTTTGAAACAGCTTATTTCCTGGGTGGTTTCATGTGCATGGTTTCAGTTGACAACGCTCATATGTTTCCTGTCTGTAAATATAGGTTCAGCTACCTACTAGGCATCTTTCCTTAAACTACCCTGCCAACACCACAAAAACCAACATTTCCATAACTAAACTCATCCATTTAGACTCTGGAAGTTTAGTTTTTTAATGTTACTGGAGGAGATACTTTAGCAAAATGAGGAAGTAAGCTTGAGAATTCAGGACACAGTGGATCTAATAATAATTCCAGAGAACAGAAATCTCAGATCATAGCTGTTCAATCAGCCAGGAAGAGCAATCAACCCAAATCTGAACAAGAGAAGAGTACTCTGGGGGTGGGAGTTGGGGGGTGTCTCTGAAGGGAAGAAGAAAAAGGCCTGTGATTGAGCAAATGAAAGTTGTGCCATATAAGAAAAAAAGGTCATTCTGTACCATCCCAAAGAAAAGTCTGTATGTAGGAGTTTTGGAGCAAATAGAAAGCAAACTTTATGGAATTCCCTCGTGGTCCAGTGGTTAAGAATTCGCCTGCCAGGCAGGGGACACAGGTTCCATCCCTGATCCAGGAAGATCCCACATGTCTGGGGGCAGCTAAGCCCATGCACCACAACTACTGAAGCTCAAGGACTCAAGACCCATGTTCCGTAACAGGAGAAGCCACCACAGTTAGAAGCCCACTCATTGCAACCAGAGAGTAGCCTCCACTCACTGCAACTAGAGAAAACCCATGTGCAGCAACAAAGACCCAGCACAGCCAAAAATAAAATTTTTAAAAACAATAGAAAGGGAACTTTAATATTAAAGTGTGATCTCAACCAACTGTAGGGTGTAAGGAAAAGTGTATTTTTTACCTTCCTGGGTGGCTCATTGGTTAAGAATCCACCTGCCAATGCAGGAGTTAGGAGAGCCTGGTGGGCTACATTCCATGGGGTCGCAAAGAGTCAGACACAACTTAGTGACTAAACAACAACAGGCCACCCAGTCTGCAGTATTTTGTTATGGCAGCTAATATGGCAAACCATAAAAGGCAAAAACCATGCCTTTTATCTAAGAAAGTTAGGGAACATTAAAAAAAAAAAAATGTGTGTGTGTATATGATGAACAACAGCGACAAAACAGAATAGATCAGAAACTAATAAAACCTGGTTTACCTGTAGGGAGAAGAGGCAGAGGAGGGAACAGAAAGGAAAAGGCTAGATTTCCTTAAATGTGTTTTTTACTTTTAACTGTACATGTTCTGCATGATTATGAAGCAATTATAGTTCAATTTTTAAAAGTTGTAAACAAAATGAAACAAATTGATGTAATTGTATATCAAGTCAGTGGCTTAACCTCATAAATTTTTTTCAGGATCAGAAGTGTGAAAACTCCAAATGGGATGTACCTTGATTTTGTTGTTTAGTTGCCAAGTATATCCGACTCTGCGACCCCATGGACTGCAGCTTGCCAGGCTTCCCTGTTCTTCACTATCTCCCAGAGTTTGTTCACATTCCTGTCCATTGAGTCAGGTGATGCTGTCTAACCATCTCTTCCTCTGCTGCCCCAGGAACAAAAATAACTGCAGAAAAACTTAAACAGTAACCCTCACTGATAGAAGAATTTACAATGAAGCAAATAAGAAGGGATTTGTGTATGCGTGTCTTTTTTTTTAAACTGTCATTAAGAATCCAGAGCAAATAGATGGGGAAACAATAGAAACAGTGACAGACTTTATTTTCTTGGGCTCCAAAATCACTGCAGATGGTTACTGCAGTCATGAAATTAAGACGGTTGTTCCTTGGAAGAAAAGCTATGACAAACCTAGACAACATATTAAAAAGCAGAGACATTACTTTACCAATAAAGGTCCGTCTAGTCAAAGCTATGGTTTTTCCAGTAGTCATATATGGATATGAGAGTTGGACCATAAAGAAGGCTGAGCGCCAAAGAATTGATGCTTTTGAACTGTGATGTTGGAGAAGACTCTTTAGAGTCCCTTGGACTGCAAGGAGATGAAACCAAACAATCCTAAAGGAAATCGGTCCTGAATACTCATTGGAAGGACTGATGCTGAAGCTCCAATACTTTGACCACCTGAAATGCCAAGAGCTAACTCATTGGAAGAGACCCTGATGCTGGGAAAGATTGAAGGCAGGAAGAGAAGGGGACAACAGAGGATGAGATGATTGGATGGCATCACTGACTCAATGGACATTAGTCTGAGCAGACTCAAGGAGATGGTGAAGGACAGGGAGGCCTGGCATGCTGCAGTTCATGGGGACACAAAGAGTCAGACACGACTGAGTGACTGAACAACAATAGGAATCCAGACTCTTCACTGGAAATAAGATAAACTTTAAAATCAAATTCAAAACCTTGTTAGACTAAATTTGCATTAAAAATATCATGAACACATGCTTTTACCATTTAAAACAATTCTCTAGCTCTTTCTGTTGATAAATTGTAGAAGCACTGAGCCTCCTAAGACCTAGATTGCCATATCTACCATCTCAACTGAAAGGGATCGATATTACCTTAGTGAAATGACCACTTCCAGATTTACAGCAGCAAATGCAGAAAATGAGCCCAGATCTGGAGCAGTGTGCATGCAAGGATGCCTGAGAAACTCCTGGGGCCATGTTAAAACACACAATCATTTCAAAGGGTCCTCTGCTGACCAAAGGTAGGACAATGTGACCATCAGAGATATTGATTGCAATGGTTTGAAACAGAAACATCAAATAGGAAAAAACACTTAATTTCCCATAATGAAAAACTAACCACAAAATTTAAAGGTCACCTTAGAAGCTGTCTAGGACATCAATTCTTATTTTCGGGTTTTTTCATTTTGGAAAGCTAGAAGATAAAATTTAAGCTATGTGTCAGGACAAATAAAGACTTTTAAGAAGAAAATACACAAATTGTTTCAGTCACTTAACTGGAAATACTTTCTCCATCTCCCCACTAGGCCTTTGTGATAGTGAACTATCATTTGTATGATTTCTAATATTTTAGCATTCAGTTACTTTAGTATTGGACCCTTTTATTTTACCTTTGCTGGCTTCACTGGTGGCTCAGATGGTAAAGAATCTGCCTGCGGTACAGGAGACCTAGGTTTGATCCCTGCATCTGGAAGATCCCCTGGAGAAGGGAATGGCAACCCACTCCAGTATTCTTGCCTGGAGAATCCCATGGGCAGAGGTGCCTGGAGGGCTATAGTCCATGGGGTCGCAAAGAGTCAGACATGACTGAGCAATTAACACAGTCAGGTAAACAAATAGTTTATAAGGGAAAGCTCTTTGGGATAGTTGTCACTAATCAAAAAGATGTGTTCATGAAAGCTGTTGAATGTTAGGAAGAAGCTAATGGGGGAGCCAGAGGTCATGGCACCTGAGACCACTGATCATTTGTAGTGCACACAGGGAGAGAATGTGGGCCTGCTGGTGCAATGCGGGCATTTACAACCTTCCGTGAGATGCTTTTTCCTAAAAAGATCAAAGCTGCATCTAGTTAAGCCTGGATCTAATATCTAGGTGATAGGAAGTATCAGGAGATAGACGACTACAAAGACATACTTGAGTACAGTCACCCAAATCCAGAGCTTGGTGGCCACTACAGGATAATATGCCTCAAGGACATTCACCACATAAATGGCAGGGGTATAAGCCATAGAGCAAAGGAAATTTCAACCAGATAACATGTGGAGACCTTGTTCAATCCTGATTTGAGCAGTTGTAAAAAGACAATTAAGGGCCACTTGGAGAAAGTGGAACTCGGAGGAAATATTAGGGAAAACTGCTATCTCTGGGTTTTTTTGCACTTAAGTTTTTATTTTGAGATCATTTTCAAGATGCATGCTGCTCTCAGAAAAACTGGAAAGATCTCAGCTACCCTTTGCCCAGTTCCCTCCATGGTGACATTTTGCAAAACAGTTGTACAGTATCACAGCAGTAAGATAAAATATAGTCAAGATGCAGGACGTTTCCATTGCTGCAGAGATCTCTTCTGGCCTGTAGCTCTATCCTCTTCCGATTGCCTCCCCCACCTTAACCCCCAGCAGCCAGTCCTGGAGGGTTAAGGACCACTCTGTCCTCCATTCCTTTCATTTTGTCATTATGTTGATGGAATCACACTTTAGGTAACCTTTTGGGACTGGCTTTTTCACTCAGCATCATTTTCCGCAGATTTGTCCAGGTCTGTGTATATCAGTAGTTCCATTTATTGCTGACTAGTATTTGTCATTTTAGAAAAAAGTAATCATTTCACAATATATATACTTATGTGTATTCCTTAAACCTACATAATGTTATACGTCTATTACATCTCAAAGCTGGGAAAAATAAATACAAGTTCATTGTACTAGAGGAAAAAAATGAGCAATAAGATACATGCCAGGTAATAGAATGTTTCTTTTTTTTGTTTGTTTGTGTGTGGGGTGGGGGGAAAAAAAGAAGCCCTTATCTCTTAGAGATATTGTAGGATTTTCAGATGAGATAATGTCATGTCTGGGATTTGCCTTAAAATAATCTGAGCAAAGGGGATTATAAATGAATCATGATTTCTGTTAGTAATTAGGGGAGTTAGCTGTTGGGAATATGGGATTCAAGGTCCTATTCTCTCTTCTTTTTGAGTGTTTGAAACTTTACATTATTAAATGTTAAAAATAAAGCAATCTGAGCCCCTTATTTAGAGAGATGGAGCCAGCAAAGGAACTTAAAATGAGCCAATAAATAAGTAAATGGCAGGGACAGAAAAATGTTTGCTTTTCACTGGAAGCTTTCCTGTTCAGTTTGATGTGTTGCTATGTACCTGAATTATTTTTAAATAATTTTAAAGTTACTCTAAAAACAATTTAATTTAATTGTGCAAATAATACAAGAAGTAAGCATTTACTTCTGTTGCATGACCTCATTCCCTGTCTGAGAAGAAATAATGGTGATTGGGGAGTAAATAGGATCCCATCCAGCATAATATCTTCAGTTGTCCTCTGTCTCCAACTCCTAAACTAGTCTCATCATTTCTAGATCACATGGCTTCCTGAGGATTCCAATTGCTAGCTTCCCAGGTGGCTCAGTGGTTAATAATCTGCTTGCCATTACAAGACATATAGGAGATGCAGGATGCAGGTTTGATCCTTGGGTTGGGAAGATCCTCTGGAGTAGGAAATGGCAACCCACTCCAGTATTATTGCCTGGAAAATCCCATGGACAGAGGAGCCTGGAGGGCCACAGTCCATAGGGTCTCAAAGAGTTGGACACAGCTGAGTACGCATGCACTCACATCCCTTGTTTGTTAGTCTAAGGAAGGCTTTTTGTATTGGAGTAAATTCATGTATTGATAAAATTCTAACCTTTATAGACAAAACCTTCTTGTGGGTAAGATAAGCATTGCTAGATATGTTTTCATGATAGACCACAGGCTTTCATTTTTTTTTTACTTAATTTTTATTGGAGTATAGTAGTTTTACAGTGTTGTGTTAGTGCATCTTTATTTTTTTCTTTTTGGGTGGTGTCCTTCTCTTGGTCCATGACGGTGAAAAAACAATACTAGTCTTTCCTCATGTTTGGCAAATTTTATGTTTAACTGTACTTCTCCTTTCTCATTCATTCATTAGTTCATTTATGTTTCTTGAAAAGCCACTAAGTTCCAGGCACTGTTGCAGATGTTGGAGACGGTTTATATAAACAAAGATTTCCAGAATCCTGTTAAAAGGGGATTTACTTGAGTCGCGAATCAGAAACTGTCCTGATGACATTGATCATAGTATACTAACCAATGTAGTAGGGCTGAGGTCACACAGTAATAACACTAAGAGCATAATTTAATGTTAAGAATACTTCCTCCCCTATCAGTATTCAAAGTAGTAAGAAGAAAAAGAATAATTAACACACAGCCTTTCCTGTGAATCAAGCCATACTTGAAACCATTTCACATATATCAATATGATGCTCAGCACAGCTTTCTGTGGTGTGTGCTTTTGTGGTTCCCATTTTGCAGATGAGAAGACTAAGTTATAGAGAGGTAAGGTATCTTGCCTAAGATTACAAAGCAGTGAGTGAAGTGTCAGAGTCAGGCTTTGAAATGAAGACAGCTGGCACAAAGCCAAATATATCTCTCTCGCAACTTAGCTATGGAGCCCAAGTAAAGATTTTTCTCTTGGTTTCCATTTTCATTGACCAAACTATTATTTTCCCAACTGTTCTTGGAAATCAACAGATGTTCCCTTAAAAAAAAAAAAAAAAGTTTCATGGAAAAATATTTAACCCAGCATTTTTCTAATGTATATAGAGGTTATTTATACTGAGTACTTCTCAGAGAATTTAGTGTTCAGTGTATACTATAAATCACCAAGAGGACCATTTATCTTTTACAGTTCTAAAATTATTTTTTCATGGAATGTTTTTTTCTTGCTTTGTTTTTACAGGATATCTATAGAAATCTCAAGGAACTTAAAGTTCTGTGCCATTTCTGTACTCTTAAATGTCTTCCACTCTTCCACGCCATTCGTTTCTGTGCTGTCACCCAAATGCTCTCTTAAATGCAGACTCAGATGTTTCCACTCTCTAAATCACCATGTGGCGAGCCCTCATTGCTTTGGGGGTGTATTTATTGCATCGCAGGACCTCACTGGCCTCATTGGCCTCTTTTGCCACGTCTTTGTGGGCCAGTGGACCACGAACAGCTCATGCTCTGTGCTGTCCCGCTTGGATCTGCTCCCTCTGCATTCGCTTGAAAAGCCCTTCTTTGCACTCCCATCATCAACCGAAACAATTCTCACTTGTTTAAAGTTTGGCTTAGACATTCCACTTCCTGTGGACCCTGTCTTGAAAACCTCCTATAGGCCAGGTCTCCATCCTCTCAGTCTATGTAGTCTTTCCTGGTCTGTATGTATTACAATTACTTGCCATTAAACCAAGAGTTCCCTAAAGACTTGTTTTTACATCTCATACCTAGCAAATTATTACCTGCACAAAGCAGTTTCTCCATAAATATTTGAATGGATGCCATTTTCCAGAAGCTCTAACTGTTAGCAATGTGTTCTTTATGTTGACCTAAAATCTGGTTCTTTCCAGTATTATCACATTGAATATATTTCATTCTTTTGCTCGTAACAACCTATCTAATAATACTGTATTATTTCAATACAATATTTGAGTTCCCCTCAAGTATTCTCCATGTGAAACTTATTTATTTATTGTTTTTATATTTTTATGAGCTGTGTACCTAGAAGTGGCATTGCTGGAACATCCATATGCAACTTTTTTAAACAATAGAGCATTGGTGCTCAGTTACTGATAGGCAGTCAGAATTGAACACTGCATTCCAGATAGTATTAAAGCAGTTTTAGTTTTTATAGAAACCCATATGTTTTCCATCAGTTATTACCAAATCTTTTCCCCTCGTCTTCTGCTTATGCTTATTGAATTCCATCTTACTTTGACCAGCCATTTTAATCTTGATTAGATCATCTCTTGTTTGAAGCAGCTTTGCATTATCTTCAAATTGTATGTACACACCTGTTGTTTCTTCATCCACATCTCGGAACAGAAAACAGTGTCCCATAGTTTTCCAATAGAGAACTCATTCTGGGTTAATCCTGAGTCATCCTAACCCCGTCCTAGTTATAATTCCTCATCTTCAGTCTGTCCAGTACTACAGCACCTCACCTGTTTTTCACTTATCCAGAACTTATTTCAGCACATGCTTTGTGGAAATACAGACCGTGACCCTACAATTCATAAATTGAGTTCAGCTTTTTATTTTAGTTGACACCTGTAAACTACCTAGCCCTGTCACCCTGACTCAAGTTTCTCAAGTTTTAAATGGAATAACTAGTCTTAAGTGTTTCTGTAAAAATTTAATTTGAGGGTCAGAAGAGTACATGGTGCTCCATCTTTCTCAGTGACGGTGTTCTAATACATTTTCTCAGGCTTTAAAAAGTCGCAGAAAGAAGAAAGGAAAGGGAAAAAGAAGTGGTGCCCAGAAGTCTTTATATGGAGAAAGAGCCGTCGCCTCTAAGAAGCCGCTCTTGAGCCCTATCCCTGAGCTGCCTGAGGTCTCTGAGACGCCCTTGCTTGGGAGCCTCGTTCGGAGGGTGTACCCAGGTAGCATGTTCTTTGTCACATTGTATCTCTTCTCCCTCTTTGTTGCCATTTCACTCTCTTTTCTTCCCCTTTTCTCTTCATTGTGTCAAGAATACATAAATTTAAAATAGCAGCTTTCCCTCCTTTTCCCACAAGAATTTTAAGAAGCAATGGGCAACTTCCCTGGAGGTTCAGTGGCTAAGACTCCAAACTTCCAATGCAGGGGGTATGAGTTTGATCCCTGGTCGGGGAACTAAGATCCCACATGCTACAAGGTGTGGCCAAAAAAGCATGTTTTTGTTTTTGTTTTTAAAAAGCAGTAGTTCTTTAACTTTCAGATCACCTAGACCCTTTTCAGACGCTGCTGGATACCCCCTCTCCCCAGAGAAACTCAGACACAGTATATTGCATATAATTTTAGGGGAAAGAATTTCCTTTTGCCCTGTCTTTGCTTTTTAAAGCATTTTGGTAAAGCAAAATGAATTCTGTTTGGTGGTATATTCCATTGCTGAAAGTCAACAAGGTGATGGCTCAGTAATAGGTGTATCTTCTATGAATTAAAAATAAAAATTAAAACCAAAAAAAAAAAAAACTTGCCCTGAAAAATCTTCAGTAGAGTTGGAACTGCTAAACATCTTCTGGAAACAGCATTTATAAATCGAACTTGATTACTTGGAAAATTTTGTTGAAAAGGAAGATTAAGTCTGTTGATACCCTGATTAGATAAAAATTGGATTGGGGTTACATCTGGTTGGTTAATGCTTGAGTTTAAATCGACTAATCATCCTGAAAATTGAAAATGAGTTCATTTGGTGCATGAATTTTGTATGGAACCAGTTTTAAAATAGCTTCCTTTGTCAATCATCAAATTTCTATAGCCTCCATTCCATTTGCAACATACTGTAAAGGATCTATCATAGATTCAGGGGTGAATATGGTACATGTCTTTATGGACTCTTGGTGTCTGCTTCCCAGGTAGCACTAGGGGTAAAGAATCCGCCTCCTAATGCAGGGGACAACGGGATGGAGACACAGGAGATATGGGTTCAATCCCTGAGTCGGGAAGATCCCTGAAGGAGGAAATGGCAGCCCACTCCAGTATTCTTGCCTGGATAATTCCATGGCCAGAGGAGCCTGGCGGGCTACAGTCCACAGGGCCACAAAGAGTCGGACACAACTTAGCAACTGAGCCCAGTGCTGCTTAGCCTGTAGGACTTAGCCAGGCTGGCTGCATTCCCAGGAAAACTCTTTGTTCACATTATACCTTTACCACCTGGTTTATAATGATCTGTCCACCACCTTCCCCTGCAAGTTTTCCTTCCCATGAGACTGGAAACTAAGACCTATTTTCATTATATCCCCAGTTCCTCGTAGGGGTTGTTCTAAAGGCATTTGAACAGTGACTGTTAGTGCATATCTTCCATCATGCATCCTATTAGAGAATTTCTTTTCAAAAATACCTGAAGCGTTTTTTAATCTGTAGGTTTCATCTGCTCTGAGGGTCTAAAGCCATCTCTCCATCCCTCTGTCTCTCTTCTTCCCTCCATCCTTCTCCCCTGCCTTCCTTTTCTAGTATGTTAATCTCATGAAAAATGCACAAATATCAATGTTTTAAAGTTGTTTAAAGAGCCCAGTTGACATATGGGTTGGTTGGCACCAAGGGGCTTCTGTCCTAGGTTATCTCTAGCTTTCCATGACATGATTGTAAGCACCTAAATCAGGGATGTATAAATACCTTTTCAAACTGACCAATTGTTTTGTAGGTTTGAGGCTCAGGTTATGTTTTTATCTTTCAGTTTCAATTTTGTTTGAAACATTTTTTATACACATTTGACTGACCAATTAAAAACGTCATTATCTGCAGTAACCAGAGAGATGACTTCTCATGGTGCAGAGATTGAGAGCCCACAAAGCCTTCACTTAGGCTGTATTCTGCGACCTGAAAACCCTGATGATGTGTTTTTCACCTGTGATGTAACGCCAGGTGGGTGCCAGAAACACGCGGCGGGCCCCAGATGACATGTCTCCTTGGAGGGTAAATTATAGTCAGAGGTGGACATGCCATTGGGAGAGAGTTCTAGAGAATGGAGACCAGCAGGGGTGTATTTCAGGGTGTGGTGCAGTTCATGTTAATTTTTTAACACAGGACATAAGCCCTGAGTGTCTCCAGAAGGACCCTTTTAATGAAGTCCTCAAATGCCCCCAGAATTCCATATTTTTTCTCTTCTATTTCAAGGGGGAACATGGATAGCAAAGTTTCCAAAGCACAGTGTTGCCCGTTTTCAGTAATTCATTTTTCGGGAAATGGAAACTGTGTCTGCCTCACGCTAACTGACCTTGTAGTATGGGGAGCACATTAGAATAGAGGAAGCCCTTTCAGATACGGTTCTCATTTCCCTGGTCTTGGGTTGTGTGCTTTATTAATTCATGCATTAAGTACATATTTTCTTAACCTGTAGGTTGAGGAAGAACTGAGCAAGACAGACTGCTGACAGATGGGGGTGGGGGGCCGGCATAGGGTTGTATTGGTAGGTCTTGTGACTTTTTGAAAGCTTGAAACGCAGACTGATACAATTTGGCACCTGTTTTGATTTGTGAAAGTTTGTTTCCATTGTTGCTTTTTAATTCAGTTTAACCTTATTACATGCCCTTAGATGATTTCAACTCAAATGGTAAATTTGAAGAAGTGATGCTTCCGAAGACAGAAAATCTTTTGTCTCAGGACCCAGAAGATTGGCAGGTGATTCAAGGCTTTAATAAAGACGATGCATCTGAGTCCTGCAGCTCTGACATGAAAAGTTCCTCATCTTTTAGTAATGCTACTTTTGAGCAAGATGCAAATATAAATGCTATAGAAATGGATGAAAATGAAAATATCCCAAAAGCAATTACGTTGGAAAGTGAAAACGAACTAAAACCCGGGACTGCGTGTGAAAACAGCCGTATTGCCTGTACTTTGGTGACTGTAACCCCCGTCCTATCGGGTGATCCAAAACCCGATTTTCCCCTGCAGTCCCAGGAACTTTCTGCTGCTGGTCAAAATGTGGAAAACCTCTTTCAAATCTTTAACATCTCAGAAGATATGAGCATCAAATGTGGAAAACAGAGTGGCTTCTCAGTCATTCCAGAAGACAAACTACAGACTGAGCATCTCACACCCGATTCACAAAAACAATGTGATTGTTCAGAAGAGGTCTTAACTGACCGGAGAAGAGTAAGGAAAAGTCAAGGTGAGGATTTGGGACCAAACTCCACAGCAAGCTGCAGTGGTGTGAGTGACAGAGAAAGAAAATACAGAGGACACTCTGTGGGTGGTTCTGATGGGCTGGGTTTACATTCGGAGAAAACCAACAGCCTCCAACCTTCCTACAGCATGAGCAGCTCGGTAGGAGTTAGTTTAGAAAATTCCCAACTGTGTGAAGATTTATCTGATTGCATTGAGCAAAGCCTTCAGAGGACAAAGAGCCAGACCAAAGTAAGACGCAGCTTGAGGCTGCAGAAAGGTTTGGAAAGCGCGGGAGGGCTCGTGTGGGTTTCACCTCCACCGCCTCCCGCCTCCTGCGCTTCCCGGAGAACCAAGAGGAGGACAGTAGGTGCTCTTGACTTCAGAGGCTTCGAGCCTGGGTCCTCCAGGCAGGATCCTGGCACGCCGCCCTCCACATCAGGTGAGAATGGTGAGGCTTTGACCGCTGCCCCTGCCGCCCGTTTGCCGGGGAAGGGGAGGAGGAGAAGCGTCTACGCCTCTGCACTTGTCAGTCCTAAAAGCACCACCCAGGCAAGAGGCTACAAAAGAAGATCCTTTCTCAGCCAGAAGGGAGAGAGCACGCTCCAAGGGTCTTTGAGAGAATCAGACCCATCAGAGAACTAAAGCAGTCACTGACACTGCCAGCAGAACAATTTGGCAAGAAAGAAGGTGACCCACCGTTCATGCCTGAAAGATTCTTTCATCCAGTTCCCATTTTGTTCAACCTCAATGTTTTAAAAGTTTCAAATAAAATCATTTGAGTTGAACCTACATTTAAGGAGAAATAAGTGAGTTTCTTCATCCGTCAAACCTAAAGCATTGTATTAAATATGTCCTCTCCTCAAAGGAGAAATGTTTTGTTGGTATTCTGCTAAAAGGGATTGCTTTCAGACCTAACAACTTATCTCTTGAGTTTTATTTCGTAGTGGCACATATTTACCACTGAAGCTTTAGAGTTTCTGTTGTGAAAAAGCGTCTTTTAGAACTGACTTGTCTTATCTGGATGAGAAGAGTTTGTTTTGGTTTGATTTTTTTTAACAATACAATGACTGTAACTTTCTGAAAGTTGAAGGTTATATAAGGTTGAAAACTTAAAGCGACCTGAGGTGGGGTATATTTTGTCTTGAAGTATTGCCCCCCAAAACAACTAGGAAAGATGGAAATGATAAAACTTGTTTTGGGTTAAAGTTAAGAGAAGCTTTAATCATTTACTTCATCTCAAATAAAACTTTTAGCAGTTAGATTAAAAGCAAATCTTAATCATGGGATTTTGAAAAACTCTTTCAATAAGAATATTGCAAATCTGTCACTATGAAATGAATCTATAATTTAGAAATAACTAATGTGAAAGCATTTTAACCTTCAAACAAGACTCTTGTGTGCTTTGTCAGGTAGGAAATGGGAGCTTGGTTTTTGGTGAAAATATAAGCAGTCTAGTGGAGGACTCATCTCCCATGTTATTCAAATTAGTCACAGGTAATATAGGATTTAATTTATGGTTCTCCATTAAAAAAAAAAATCCAGAAAGAAACTCACTTGAAGGCCCCTAGAAAATTGGTTTACTAGAAACCGAGTGGTAGGCTGCTGATTTCTTTCTTACTATGGCATTTTCCAGCCTTGCTAACTTTCTATTTCACAATACCAAGTACTAGCACTTGTTTTTTCCAGCTAAGTTTCAGCAATACATGCTGTCACTTGGCGACAGCAGTTTGAAAATTTAAATTGCTATATATCTGGAATTTGTGAATGTGCATAAATCATTGTATCATTAAACAATTGTTTTTGAAATCCTTTAAATCATTAAGCTCTCCCTCTCCCAGTGATCACAGAAACATGTTAACAAATAGGGCTCTCTATAAATAACACAACAGGGAAGAAAGCTCCTGCTGGGCGCCCATTTCCCCCTCCTCAGATAGAGACTATTTGTTACCTCCTTGGCACCAATAGGTCTGGGACTCCTGCTGCTAAAGACTAATGTATTTTACATTAACACTCGAAGTGATCCCCAATTTCTCCTGCTAAAGGGTGGATTGTTTCAGAAATTCTTTTATCTTTACAGGTAAATTATTTATGGACTTCTTTTCCCCACCCCCCACCCCATTTATACTTTGGTTTTGTTGACAAATCTCTACCACTGGAAAAAACCAAAAGGAAAAAAAAAGAACAAAACTTTTTGGTTTGGGTCATTTAAAAAGAAAAGGGGGAAAAAAACTTTCAGAAACATACAATATTAGAGGGTTTTAAAAATTTTTTGTTGTTTATTCAACATAGAAGCTAAAATTACTGTTATTTTCTACCTTTTTTACTTTATATGATCTCAGTTGTACTTGGATTTTTAGAATTTGACATGCTTTGTTTTATTTCCAAAAAAGTGCTAATGAGGATTAAGAACATATTTTGGTCTGTTTTTTTTTTTTTTTCATTGTGAATTTTTTTGGCTTGGTTTTTCAAATGTAAAAGTGTTCTCTTTTCCTAGCATCTGCAGTTAAACAGATCAACACTTTACAAGTTTAAAATATTTCACTCTAAATTTTTTGTTGCTATCTGTAAAATAACAAATAGACTCTTTTCCTAAAAAAAAAAAGAAGTCTTGAGAAAGCATAACCACGTGGAGGTAATTTTATCCACTGTCTCATTTATATCATAAATTTGTGAAAAGTTAATGATTTCTGTATTTTCTCATGCTTGCTTCTTTTTAACTGTTTCTTTTCATTAATGGTTAAATCAAGAACTGGCCTGATCTTTTTCACTGCAGTAACCCTTGAGATTTTGCCTTAGAAAAGTTTCCACGGTATCTGCCTCCATTGATTCTCAATTGTTCCAGAAGATGGCAGCATGGCATCTGAAGTTATCCTGTGTTGCGCCGCCTCAAGCCGGGGCAGTGCTCGGCAGTTGCTATGGGTGCTTCCCCTTCACATTTATTTCCACTCCTTTTTATCACAAAGGTCGTATGTGTCTATTGAAAAAAGAGAACTGTGCAAAATGAAAACTTTCTTCTACCCACCTGATGCAGGCATGCCTACAGGCACAGCTTTTTTTCCCCCCACCTTTCTAGGTGTCAACACCATTAACAGGGGGCAAACCTCTTCCAGACCCTTTGCCTGTGTAAACATAGGTTTTGTTGTTTTGCTTTGTTTTTTTTAAATTTAAAAAGTGGAAAAAATTTATTTCCTGAAACTTTTCAGTAAGAAAAAAAGTTTACTTTGAGGCACTTAAAAGTTGGGTTTTTTTGCTTTTTTTTTTTAAACTGGAGGATAATTGGGTTTCGTTGTTTTCTGATGGGATCACTCTTTATTCCATTTTACAATTTAAAAATTTTATTCAACAAAATACCATGAATATCCCCATGATATTATGGAGAGTCCTGGTGCTACTTCATCTTTTTAACCCCTGTCTAGAGTGAGATAATTTAGATCTCTATAACATAGTTCACCATCTCCTTAATAATGGACCCTAGTTGTCTCCAGTTTTGTGTTACTGAAAATTATGCCACACTAGGCTTGTTTGGAAATGCAAGATAAATTCTTTGAAATTAAAATTAAATGGTTATTCAGTTCATTTCTCCCGATCATACCTAGCAAAGTTCCTTTATAAAGATTTCACCTTCTTTCTGTCCATCATATTCTTCCCCCATCACTTCATGCCACATTGCTTCCATTTTTTTCTGACTGCCCCCTCCCCACTCCCCTGAATTAAGCTATAGAATTAACTGAATGTGAGACTTAGACCTGGCATACCAAAAAGGAAATAATAATGCCTGATTTGTGCTTTATATTGAAAGAGCTTCTTTTTTTCATTTACTTTTTAAAGTCAGGTTTATTGAGGTGTAATTCACCTACAGTACAGTTTCCCATTTTTAAGTGTACCAGTTTGAAGTCTGGCAAATTCACAGTCATGTAAGCACTGCCACAGTCAAGTAACAGAACATACTCATCACCCTGCGGAACATTTCCTCCTGCCGGTCTCAGCCAATCCCCTCTCCTCTAACCCCAGCCCCTCACAGTCACTCATCTGATTTCTATCCTTATAGTCTTGCCTTTTCTAGAATGTCATATATGTGGGATCATACAGTATATATCCTGTTGTGTCTGCCTTTTTAAACTAAGCATAATGCATTTGGGATTTATCCATGTTGTATGTGATAAGTAGTTGATTTCCTGTTTATTGCCCCGTAGTAATCCATTTTATGGATGTACCACAGTTTATCCATTCACCCACTGATGGATATTTGGTTTGTTTCTGTATTTTGGCTTCTGCAAATAAAGCTGCTATAAACATTCACATATGGATCTTTTTTATAGAAACATGTTTTCATTTTTCTTGGTTAAATACCTAAAAGTGGGATTCCTGGGACATACAGCTGGGGTGTTTTTAAGAAACTGCCAAGTTTTTCCATAGCAGTGGCACCATTTGCATCCTCACCTGCCACACATAGTTCGGTTTCTCCACATTTTCATCACCATGTGGTGTCAGCCTTGGTGCTTGTAGGCATTCTTGTAGGTGTGCAGTGGTATCCCACTGTGTATATTTCTTTTTTTTTGTATATTTCTTTAATGACTAATGATATTGAGCATATTTTATTCCCTGTGCTTATTTGCATTCTTATATCCTCTTTATTGACACTTCCATTTAAATGTCTTGCCTACATTTTCTTTTGTCCTTATTGCCTTTTTTTTTTAGTTGAAAGGGTTCTGCCTATATTTGGATACAATCCTTTATTATGTATCTATCTTGCAAATATTTTTCCCCCAGTCTGTAGCTTGTTTTTTTAAACTTTTAAAATTTTCTTATTTTTTGAAAAGACATTTTCTATCAAAAGCGTTTTGATGTAATCTAATTTATTCTTTTTTTTTTTTCCCCTGAATGGAACATGCTTTTGTATACTAAGAAATCTTTGACTAATTCAAGGGTACACTAGGTTTTCTTCTAGAAATTGTATTGTTTTAGTTCTCAGGTATCAGATCCACTTTGCGATGACTTTTGTATAATCTGTGAGAAGAGGGTTTTGTTTTCTTTTTAATGGAAGCCATTCAGCACCATTTGTTGAAAAGATTTTGCATTCCTTATTGAATTACAGTGGCACCTCCGTTGAAATCTGTTGACCTTGTATGTGTAGGTCTTTTTCTGGACTTGATTCTTTTCCATTGATCTATGTGTCTATTCTTAAACCAACATTGCACCATCTTAATTACTGTAAGAAAGCTTGTTTTCCCCTTTACTGTGAATCTTTGTCATGGTTTTCATTTGAAGTTATTTTGTGAAGGAGGAAACCTGTGGAAGCAAAAGGCTGATCAAACAATTCAATGTGGAGCCTATAATTACACCCAGACATGCATTATCATTTAAGGCAAAAAGTAATACTAAGCTATCAGAAATAAGGGAAAGGAACCAACTCCTTGTGGCTATATTCAGCCTAATCTTCTCACGTAAAAAAGTTTGCTACAGTTCTTGATTTTTAAATTGTCACTCTGAGACACTAAGATTTAGTCACTGAGAAAGAATTCTGTTCTTGACCACTGTATATTATCAGTAAGAAAATGAAATGAGTTGAATAAAGGTTGAGAGTTAAGTTTGCTAAAAATAAGTCTGATTCAATTCTCATATATTAAGATTTGTATTATAGCTTGGTTTAGTATTACAAAAAAAAAAAAAAGTCACTATCCTCACTTGGAAAGCAGCCTTAGCATTTGAGAATTATTTCTTAACGTGGGAAAATTTCCCTGCACATCCCAGGTAAGAAGATTGTAGATTGAGTAATACTTGTGCCAGGCAT